ACCCCCGCGTCCCAGCAGCCGTCTGCATAACCAAAAGACAAACGTGAGGTGCCGGCAGTTTGGCACCCTGGAAAGGGACCACGAGTTCGTTTGCTCAGCTTTGCTCGTGCAGCTGTCTTCGCAGAACACGCACCGCCCCGAGAAACGTGCGTTTGGAACAATTTCTGAGCTCACGGACAGTTGGGAGTGTCGATCCATTACGTTCTCTGCAATTAGAACGAGAGAAAAAAGAGTCCAAGCACTACCCGCAACATACATACATACTTACGTGCTCTGCTTACACGGCACGGCTCCTGCGCGCGCGTAGTGCCCTGAGACGAGACCAGACGACACCAAGACGAGACGAAAAACCCAAGTCCAGACTCAGACTACCCGAGGAGGAGGAGCGCGCCGTTAGAAAAATGCAGGAACCCATCTTAGTCTTTGGGACCGACGGCACATGGAAGCGGAATGCGCTTTCTCTCCTCTCAAGTTAGTCCGTCTGGTCGTAAGCGCCAGTCTCAACGGCGTCTTTTTCATGGCGTTGTGGGCAAAATACATTTACTAGAGACAACGAGTTCGTCAAGAGACGTTACATCAAGGAGACTTCACAAGGCGAAAATGTTGAAGTTCTGCAGAGTGACAAATGAACAATAAATGATGTGTTATCTACAACCAACATAATTTACAGACAAGATCGTTATAAATATTCAGCTGGGGCATGCCAACGCAACGAATGCCCCCCAAAAGCAAAAAACTGAAACCTGCTTCCGCGGCAGGGCCTCCCAAAACAACAACATGGCTTCGGGGTATCATCCACAAGAAATTGTTTCGCTATCGTGACAAGGGCACATCTCCTTCACACACTACGACCGCGATGGCTGCTCATTCGAAGCCGGTCGACTATTCGTAAGCTCCGTTATGCTTTCACTCTCGTAGTTTTTTGTCCTGCGGTTCTGGCTCGGGATCTTGAACTGGTCGCTGTGCCTGAAACTACCCACAATTTCCGTCACATCTGGCCGTCGAGACGAATATTTAATATCGGTCCATAGCGTCTTGCAGGCCTTCCATGAAGTCACCACATAGATGAGCGCATTCCAGAAGCCCTGAAGCGGGAGAACAAAGGCACTCATAAACTCTAGCGGCGTCGAAGACTCCTTGGTGTGTATGACCGAGTAGACGCGGTTGGCGCTCGACGGGACCCAGGTGATCAAAATGACTGTAAAGAACAGGATCGAACACTTGGTGTAAGACCAAGCCGCGTTGTTGAGCTCGTAGTTGCGTCGACGAGCAGAGTTCATCGGCCGCTGGGCGGAAGTATCCGCCGTGTTACTTTCGGTAGGCGGGATAGCCGCTTCGGCTTGTGATTCATTGCGGCTATAGCGATTGGCAGAAATGCTGACAGAGTAAGCAGCGTTGGGTAGTCGTGGGACTGGCCCGGCTTCCGAGCCACGTCTTCCCACTGTGGCAAGACCAATAGAACCCTGAGGCTGATCCATCGCTTCCGAGGTGACGTAGACTTCGGTCGTCTTCATCGAGGTTAGAACGTCGTGGAACGAGTTCATTTGGTCGTGGTCCGAGGAGCTAAAATTGTGAAGCTGCTTTCGCTTTTGGTAGATTTCTCGGCCCGCGCGGATGTAGATGAAGAAAGTGATCAAAATTGCAATCCTGGAACAATTAGCAAAGCCCAATTGAAGCGACAAATAAACCTACCAAACGGGTCCGTAGAATGTGAGAATGCGCCAGATCTCCCACTCAGGTCGAATCCAGCACCATAATGTCGCGTTGCCATAGACCCTCAATCCATCGCCGTTCCTGACAAAGACATAGACCAGGGCTGGGATAAAGGGAATTCCATAACAGCAAACGAGATACGGTATCTCCATTCTCCGTAGTCTTTCGGCGTCGAACTTGTAGTAGAATGTCAAGTAGACGTTGATAGCCATAGTAAGCGTCCAAAATGCATCAGCCGGCATGAACCTGCAGTGTGTTAGTCGCGAACCAGTAGCGGGGCCGGTACACCAACATTTGAACCAGGAACGCCTGAAGCTGGCAGCCTGGCGAGTCCGGAGAACCAATGTAGGACCTTGCCATGAGCGTGCCAACGTTCGTCATCATATTTCCAAAGGAAGCGAAGAATACAAGCCGATTGATGGGTTTGTGGAACGCTCTAGACGAGCAAAATGTGACAATGATGAATACACATCCCAGCAGCGAGAAGACGGAGCAGGTTCGTTCTATGATACTGAGAAGGTCGAGGTCTCCTTTGTCCAAGTTGGCCTTCTCTTGGGGTGTGTCCATTTTGTCGATGGTAGTATACGGAACCGGCAAAGGCCCTTTTGTGTGGCCGGGTCGATTTACACGGTACGAAACAGCGTCAGACTGGTGTCTGCGTTGACGGCAACCAGTGATGTTTTGAACAAGTGGTAGTGATTGTCGACGGCTTTGGTCGTGGGCCTTGCTCGAAATGTTGTAAATCGGTTTCGTGAAATGGTGGATGGCCAACCGTTCAAGTACGCTGACCTCCCTCACTGAAAGGTCCCAGCCAACGAAAGTAGCGACAACTCCGACGAGCAACGGGTTGTAAAGGTGTTGCCCAACCCAATAGGGGCAGTCCAATATGTCAACTTCCTATCAAGATTCTATGCGAACTCCTGACCAGGATGGTATGCAGGAGAGCACAAGCGGATGTGCTGAGCCAGAATCCAGGAACCGAATTGTCGAGAAACGAGAACCAACATGGTCCGGAAAAGGCGTAGAAGACGGGATCAAAGATGATGGCAACGACTGTAAAATGTAAGAAAAGAGGAAAGGAGCCAGTCATCAACTCATCGAGGCGCCGCAGGCCCTGGGCCTTCGCATGGCGTGTAGCAGGGGCTGTGTAGGGCCGGATTGGCCAGGATGCTGTCGAGACCATGTTCCATGTTGGGACGGGGCGTGTAAGTAAGTACGTGAGTACCCTCCTGGACACCCTCTTGGGCAGAGAACCACGGGAGAGAAGACACTACAGATACCTGGCAATTGCTGGAGATTTGGTGTGGTCGCCATGTCCGCGTGAAGAGAAGTGTGAGGGCACTAGGGAGTTAGAGGATGGATGTTGTGGAAGCTGGAACAGGCCAAGTGAAGGACTTAGCTCGCCGCATCCGGACCCACTGGAACCAGCTTGGCGCGGGGTCGGACGAACCTGGGGACGCCAGGGACCCCTGGTTGATTCCCTCCAGCAGCACCGTTACAAGGCCCCCCTGGCCCTGGGCCAAAGTTCTTCGTTAGGTGGGTGAGCTGTCGAGCTGCATATCCGTAGGTATTCTGCAGTGCCCGTATTCGTTGAACAAAATTGCCTTCAGTTTCTGAACTCCCTGAGTGATGGCCGTCGCCATCCTCCCTCACCGCGTGGCCTCCTCATGGTGATCGGATACCCCTGAGCTGGCATTATGATGGGAGCTTGTCATCCTACCCAAGCCAACCCTGTACTTACTTCAGGCGGAAATATCATGTTTTCTCGCGGAGCTTGGACGTGCAAACCTTGGTCAAGGCGGCGGGATGGTCAGCGGAAGGGTACCACGGTTCCAAACCCCAAACTGTCTGGCACTCAGGCGCCTCCTGGCCGATGCCTTTCTCGACTTCCATCCTCCTAGTGAAACCCTTGTCAAGCCACCGCAAACCAGGGATCAAGGGCTGTAATTTGGATGTGTCGTCGTTGGACCAAAGGGAGCTCGTGTTTGCTGACCCCATGAAGAAGACTAGCAGGGTAGTTGCGATAAAAGAATTCGGGATCACGACTCGAGGAAATTGGGAGTTTTCCATAGACTGTAGGGCTAGTTGGCCTTGCTTTCAACGAAATGCTTAAGCCGTAGAAGGGTCTCATTCTGCAACCCTCTGATGGTGCTGTTGGAGACGGGCCGTGGGCGCTGACGTTCTGCTGCAAAGTTCCGTACAGCACCATCCAATCTAATAGGGCATTGCCACGCTGTAGAAGGCGGCAGCTAGCGAAGACTGACGTCCGCATTGCTTTCACCGTATCATCCGATGTGCTGGTGACAAAGCCATGGTGAATCAGGTATGAACAAAGACTGATCTCTGACCTCTCAAGATAGGGAGCCTTTCCGTTTCGGGACGCAACGGTCAGTGTGCAGTCGTTGGTTCGCGCAGGGTCTTACGAAGAATTCGTCATTGAGATGGAAATAGGTACCTAGCTTGACGGCCAGCCACAATGACTCGAAATGCCGTCGATTTTGCTGCCTAGCTGCTGCTTTGTCCCAACATCTCTAAGACCGGCTGACGGCACGGTGGTAGCTTCGCCCACGTGGAGAGCGCCACGATCGACGATGTCTCCAAGCTGGTGGTGAACGGGTGCTCGTAGAATGGAATCAAAACTGAGACGAAGTCGACGGCGGCGTGATGTCGTCTGGAGTGTGGTCTCCTATGGGTTTGAGATGGGACGGGGCGATACTTTCCAGCGCCGCGCCGTCTGCGAAATTCGTGGTTCCGACTGCTCGGTGCCAAGCCACACGCCAGAGACGACTCTATGGAAGATGGCTGTTGGAATGAATTGTTGGACTGGACGAGACCACGCGGTGATGAGAGACCTAGCTAAACCTCGGCGACGAAGCTCAGATCGATTTTGACCGACCCCAGTTTTAGACAGCCACCTTACAATTAGGCACAAGCTGTGCCGTCGTTTGAAGACCCAGACGGGATAGTACGGCCGTACCGAGGTGTCTGTTGGAGGATCTGGATGAACCCTGATTAGCTACCAGGCCTGCCAAAGCCCGGAGGATGGGAGGCGTAGAAGCCTAGAAGGGTTAAAATGCATAATGAAGGCAAAGTCTGGGGGAGGAGACTCGTCAATCTGCAGTGCTGCGGTGCATGCTCCGAGATGAACTTGGTTGGGTGCGGTCGACCGGAGCGAAGCAGCAGGTGCCAGGAGCCTACGAATAGGAGGTCGGGACCTAAAGAGAAGGAGGCCACAGGGCGGGAGGTTTCTGGTGGTGACAACGAAGGCACGAAGGGTGACATTGGAAATGGGGAATTTACCCACATTTACCCCAAAACTGCACCACTCATTCCCAAGGACCCAGGTGCCTGTTCCTGCCTATCCCAAGCGGGGGGAAGTGGGGCTCTCTTCCGCGTATCGGTACGTACCGCACAGATATCCGTATCTCTTCTGGGAATCGGCAACCACCAAGCTTTTCGAGTCAAACACGCCGGCCTTCCAAGAGTCCAACCATGGCAAAGCCAACACGCGGGTCCCATTCATAGGGCCTAGCCCAAGCTGGAAAACGGATGGACTGTTTGTCTTCATTCACCAGCTTAATTTACCGGCTTATGCCGTGCCTCCGCGACTCTGGCTGCCTACTTCACCTTTCTTTGAGCTCTTCGTTGTCGTTGGCCAGCCTCGATCCTCGGTGCTGACCTTTTTTTTCTTTTTCTTTTCTTTGTGCCGCGGCGGATCATAACCTCGATCATCCTGTTATCATATTCCAGCGGTGAAGAAGCTTGGTATGGAATCCGGACAAGAGGGTTGCCTCCGAGGCTGGTTGCCACTGACGGCATCGAATCATGTTACCTTTGCCTCCAACAGATCCGAGGTCTTGGTGCCGGCGGTCCATTGCCTCTGAAGGGGGTCAAATTGTGTTTCATCGATCGCAGCGCTCCCAGACTGCTACCTTGGACGGACTTGAAGGCGTTTTCCCGGCTGACCATGGCCTCGGGAGTGGCTCTTCCTCCTAAATGCCCAGAGGTTCCTCGGCCAGGTCTCTCGTCTTGGCTTCTCGTGGGCAGGTACTATACGGTCGAACTCTAACATATTGTTGGTATACGACCCTCCGCCACAAAGCGACGGATCTATGGATCTGGATGACTCAACAAAGTAAAGGTGGGCAGATTGCGGAGAAACACAAAGAGGCCTAGCGAATTGGTGACATGGAGAGAGTCCTATCCCAACTTTTTTCACTAATGCCTTTATCAAAACCCCTCACTTTTCCATATAGTCTACGGATACAGACAACTACAGCAGTTTCAGACCACACTAGTCACAAAATGTCGACAGTCAACCACACCTGCTCTCTTACCCCAGACTTGCCTGCTTCAAGGGTCTTCCCTTGATGCGCAATATGCGTGATCGAAGGAGCTGAACCTGGCCGTCCATTCGGGGTTCTCGTCCGTGCGTTCCTGTCAGAATTAACATGAGCCGCCACAACGCCGCGGAGGAGAACTTTCCCCTGTCGACTCGGCCAGGGCGGTGGTGTCGATGCCCTTTTCAGCCATAAAATTCGAGCAGATACCTTACGCACTCTGATATAGTCCTCTCTGCTGGCCAGCTGGGTGGTGACGACTTTGTCCGACCTCCTTGTGGCTGGCTTTGCCTGCTCTGGCGGTCTCGTCGACTGGCGGCCTGGGCATCATACAAAAGATATGAACGAAAGGAAGGAGGGGAATACTGACCTTGTAATTCACGCCCCTGTCCGGACTCGAACAGCGCGCCCCTCAGTCAACCCGAACTCTGACTTCATGGGAGTATTTGTTTATTTGACCATTCGACCACCTCGCACATAGCTTGACCTGACCTCGCCGACCTAGACGGGCGCTGCTGTGCTGGTGACGGGAATGAGATTGAGGGGGGATATATACTCCTGGCCCGACTTGGTAACGCAGATTGAGGAAGGAGGGACGTAGAGGTGGGAAGGAACGGCTGAGCGAGGCCTGGATGGTAAATGCTCAAGATCGTGACCCATAGGGGCGCATCTACCTAGGTTGCTTCTTCGCTCGTCGCAGCCGCCTTCACATCCTTGTCCACAAATCACTACAGACCCAGACAAAGGTTGATGAAGAGCGAGAAGGAGAAGTCATCGCTCCGTATCCTGGTTTCTAGGCCAAGAAAAGCCTCGTCCAAGTTTGAGAGTGACCAGAGCCACTTTGGTGGCAGGAAACAGATATAGGCAACAGAAAACCCCCCTCGCTCAACTTTCATCTATGCAGTCTCTTGTCTTGTAATTCAGCCACCACGAGAAGATGGGACACACACGAGCCAACTGCCTCATTGGGTGGCTGGTCTAATCAACGTGCCGCTTTCTTGACAGCGCTAGCGTCTGGGGTAATACATAGACCCGAACGGTTCTTTTCGGGAAAGGAGGGCGATGGCTCCTATCAGGGGTGCGTACGCCACCACGGCGGCATTCGCGAAATTTGAGCATTTCCTCCGAGGACGCTTTGACGGATGTAAGCTGAATCGGTGATATTCTCTGGGGGTTGCAATTCAATGTTCCCCTCTGTCTGGTCCAGCCACGCGGGGTAGACAGGAAGACCATAGTTAGTTACTGAAGGAGGCTAGAGGTAGCATGGGCTTGCTTGAAGGGATCCAAAGGAAGCCGAGAGAAGCCCGGGTGGGCAGAGCTGTCGTCACATTTCACACTGCGGCGAAGAACATCTACTTCCCAGGTGTATTTGGTCATGGCGAGTCCGAAGCTTTCAACATACTCTTGTATCCAGGCCTGTTTTTCTATAAGTCTCTTCGGCTTGTCGTCCCGTCATGCCCAGCTGCCAGGGGAACGCAACTTGGCGTTCGAACAGAAACCACTGATCTGTGGTCAAGGTAGAGAGGCACAGCTCGGTTGTTTAAACTGTTCTGGGCAGGAGGACGAGGCGGACTACTCCAGTCGATTTGTAAAGATGTCAATCGCCGAGGCCAAGCAAGCAGTCTGACTTTCCACTCGAGACATACTCGTCGTCGGTCGGTTGACCGTTGATCTACACTCTACCCTAGCACTATCTGGGTCTTCTGGAGTCTAGACCAGCCGCAAGCCAACTTCTGAGTGAATTTTAGCGCTCAGTGAAGGTCGGTCTCTCTTTCGGCGAATCTAAGCCTGGTTTAGTATGGTCGAAGCAGTGGCGTCGCGATAGTCGGATTATGCCTTAGTCGTAGTATTGCGATCGTTGTTCAATCTTGAGGTCAGTCTTTCTATCGAAGGAAAGTCGAACGGGAGATGGCTTGCCAGAAGCAAACTGATCTATTGATTTTCCGTATCATGCAGTAAAGTAAGGTAAGTTGGGATCGAACGTTTTCAAGCTCACAATTGAGGTACGAGATGGATAGTATTGCCGATCATCCTTTTGACTGACATCGTCAGTCTTTAGCCCTCATCTTGAATCCAAGGTCGACTTATGCCTGCCAGAGTCCATTAGAAAGCAATGGCTGTTCAGGGTTTTGGCTAAACTTGTGGCTTTCGCGATTCGAAATACTGAAGTAGGCTTTGTCCCATGTCTCATCCAAGGCCATCGAAGCGGCAGGTACCGCTTCTTTGGAGCATTCTCCTGGAAGAGGACAGAAACGACGTGTCATCTCGAGAAGTCACAACGGCAGAGGAGCCTGCTTCATCACTGTTGAGTCTTTGTGGGATTCGGCATCGTCTCATTGTTCGGTTTCGAGGTTGAACGAGGGCGGCTTCCATGGACACCCTCTAGTTGCTTGTTCGTTGCACCAGGGAGTCTTTGCTTGTTGGCTTCTAGAAACCTACCCTTCCATCGATGGAGAATAAGATCTGGGCCATTCCAGCTTTGTTGAAACTTCACGTATGTGGAAGGCCAGAAGATGCGCGAGCAAGCTTTGTAGGTACAACCAAGTTAAAAATAAGAAGACTTCATCAACAGACAGCCTCAAATGAAACCCATAATTTCGAAGTATTCAGAGCATGAGCAATCTTGATCTTGAATCCTGTCAAATGGCGGATAATCACGCATCTTAGTATTCTCGTCACACCCCTCCCAGATAATATCTGAACTCTCCACGAGGAACGGCACAATGCCACGAGGCCACAGAATGTCGAAACGCGCGTCCAAACGCAGACACGCAAGCCCAGAACCGGACTTGAGTCTCACAGAAGGGATCCCCATCATCAAGGCCCGTCGATACCCTCCGCGAAAAGACGTCGAATATCACGTAACAGGAAAACACCGATCGTTGTATGAACACCATCCTCCCCTTCGTTCCCCCAAACGCGACCGACACAATCACCACATCGAAGCCAAGTCGGACACAGATGGCGATCTGAGGATGATCCCCATGCCACCAGATTCGCCCTCGACAGCCCTCGTTCTCAGGACATCAGGAACACCGGGCCATAAGAAAGACAACCGAAAGAACGACGACGACAGCTACCTGGACATCGTGAGACGCCGCCGAAAACCTAAGCATAAGCCCGGCCTCGAGCTGAATCTCGAGCCGGTGATCCACAGAGCCTCGAAACGTCGCCGCAGCATCATAGACGATACCGGACGCGAGATACATGAGCAGCAACAGTGCAGCGACCTCGTCGTCGACAACTACCGCTTCCGTAATCGCATCCTGTCTCTCCTGGACGAGCAACGCTCATCGGTCGAGTCGTGGGCCCGCAGCGTCGGCGCGGGAGGCCCGGCTGAGCCGATGGACTGGCAGCCGGAGCAGGAGCGGGTCGTGTACATTGCCCGCGACCTCGTGGAGTACAGGTGCTACGAGGACCGGTGGAGAATCGGGGGTGGGCAGGAGGAGCAACCGCGGCAGCAGCTGGAGGGCAGGCCGACGGCCCAGCTCTCGTCGGAATTAGTGTCGTGGGCCGATCAGGGAGAGGATGGGTCGGACATGTGTGGGGCGCCGGTACTTGGCTTAAGTCTTGTGGATGTGATTGAGTGAAGCGGGGGTTGGGCTGCATGAAGTCTAGACGTACATGATGGGGATAGGGGTTCGTGAGCTTCTATTGACATTCGATAATGGAGGTAGTCGGAACCAGACGGAGTGTGAATGATCGCATATCAGGATGGATGTTAGTCACTGCGAGAGCCAGTCACCACGAGGGGGAACAATATGAGGCAGCAAAAAGCGCAACGAACTACTACTCCTATTCAAGTCTATAAGCCCATTAAACATGTCATTTTCACCGCGAGGGACTTTTTGAATACCTATATGGGTTAACATGCAAGTTTTGAACTAGACCAGTCCTAAATTCCTAACGCCTGTCCAGATGAAGTCCGACCGACCGTACCCATTGAAGCAAAAGTCAAATCTCGTGGGAATCTCGCAAATGTACAGATTCAACCGCTCACCCACCACTCTTCTTTACGCAACGCATACAATACTTTTTTCTCCCATTTCTTTTTCACATTTATTTCGCGTAGCGCGAGTACTCGGCAGCGACGAGGCAGTGATCACGCTCAAAGGGCTCTGTGATAGTGTGTTAGTCATGGCAGGGTTTCCACTTCCAGAGAGGAAAAAGGGGGTTGCGAACCTAGCGTAAGCTGCTCCTTGGGAGTGATGCGCTCTCCTCTCAGCTTCTCGACCTCCATGGCGAAGACCTTGTGAGCGGGGGCGGTACTGTCGATACAGTTGGCCTTGATAGAGATGAGGATACCACCGCCGACCTTGAGGAACTGATGGGCGTTCATGGCGACGATACGGGCCTGGTCGGGCTGAGCAACATCGGCGAAGATGCAGTCGACCATGGGCATGAGCATGCGGTACTTGAGGGGTTGACGGGCGTCCTCGACAATGGGGACGACGTTGGTGCGCTTGGCGGCCATGCCGATCAGATCACGGCCGGAACGGGGGGAGAACTCGACAGCGTAGACGAAGCCGGTAGGACCGACAATATCGGCGACGTGGGAGACTGAGGTACCGGAGGCACCACCGAGGTAGAGGACCTTGGAGCCGGGGCCGAAGTAGAGCTTCTCGAGACCACCGATGACGGCGGCGGCCAACTTGGAGCGGAAGGGGTTCCACACGCGGTACTCGATCTTGGTGGTTGTGGTGGTGCCGTCCTCGTTCTGGGTTTGGTT